AAAAAGAGCTAGCTGGCTGGCTGATAGCGGTCAAGGCTCTTGCCGCTGGGCAGAGCGACGACGGGCGAGCGAGGCGCTGAACTCCGACGGCCTCCGGCGGAGGTGCACTGGTTGGGGGAGACGCAAGCGGACTGCGCCACGGGGACCTTCGGTGGAGTTCCCTATGGGGCTACGAAGCGTGTGAGGGATGTGCCGAAATGGGTGTGCGGGACGCATGCGGGCACACCCACTGGGACCTTCGGTTGGGCTCCCTATGAGGCCACGAAACGTGTGAGCGGTGCGCCGAAATGTGTGTGCGGGACGCATGCGGGCACACCCACTGGGACCTTCGGTGGAGCTCCCTATGGGGCCACGAAACGTGTGAGGGGTGTACCAAAATGGGCGTGCGGGACGCATGCGGGCACGCCCACTGGGACCTTCGGTGGAGCTCCCTATGGGGCCACGAAACGTGTGAGCGGTGCGCCGAAATGAGTGTGCGGGACGCATGCGGGCAGACCCTTGAGACCTTCGGCGGAGCTCCCTATGGGCCCCTATGGGGCCACGAAGCGTGTTAGGGGTGTGCCGACATGGGTGTGCGGGACGCATGCGGGCACACCCACTGGGACCTTCGGTGGAACTCCTTATGGGGCCACGAAACGTGTGAGGGGTGGGCCGAAATGGGTGTGCGGGGCGCATGCGGGCACACCCATTGGGACCTATGTGGAGCTCCCTATGGGGCCACGAAGCGTGTGAGGGGTGGGCCGAAATGAGTGTGCGGGACGCATGCGGGCACACCCATTGAGACCTTCGGTGGAGCTCCCTATGGGGCCACGAAGCGTGTGAGGGGTGTGCCAAAATGGGCGTGCGGGACGCATGCGGGCACACCCATTGGGACCTTCGGTGGAGTTCCCTATGGGGCCACGAAGCGCGCGAAGGGTGTGCCAAAATGGGCGTGCGGGACGCATGCGGGCACACCCATTGGGACCTTCGGTGGAGCTCGCTATGGGGCCACGAAACGTGTGAGGGGTGTACCGAAATGTGTGTGCGGGACGCGTGCGGGCACACCCACTAGGACCTTCGGTGGAACCCCCATATGGGGCCACGAAGCGTGTGAGGGGTGTGCCGAAATGGGTGATGACGATGATGATGGTGGGTGGAAGAGGAGGAGGAGGAGGAGGAGGAGGAGGAGGAGGAGGAGGAGGAGGAGGAGGGAGGAGGAGGAGGAGGAGGAGGAGGAGGAGGAGGAGGAGGAGGAGGAGGAGGAGGAGAAGAGGAGGAAAGGAGACGCGGGGACCGTTTCTTCAAAACGAGGACCCAACACCACAGGATGGTTGGGAAAAACGGCTCCAGGATTGGAGCCGGAGCCGGAACCGGTCAAACAACGGCGACGGAACCGGTACAAAATTGCGTCGGAACCGTTAAAAAACGACAAAAAACGGAACCGGTAAAACATGGACTTGTCGCTTCCAGGGCCCACTAGGGGGAAGGGGGCCTCATGCGAACCGTACCCCTACCCCCCACGATTTCTGAGGGGGAGGGTGGGGTTCATTTCGTTCGGGAGCTCCCGAGCGAAGTGAACCCCACCCTCCCTCTCAGAAATCGTGGGGGGCAGGGGTCGGGTTCGCATGTGCCCCCCTATTAGGGGGAGGGGGGGGGAGGGGGAGGGGGTCTGGCTCTGGACCTCTGCGCAAGGAGACTGCTTGCAGCAGCGCGTCCTGCGGGGGAGGCCTCGCGTGCCCGAGGCAGGTGCCGAGGACACGGCCAAGATCCACTCTATGGGGGGAGGGAGGCGGTGCCAGGGCCAGCGCCGATCGGCAAAGCCAGGAATCCGAAAGCGGTCGCGTGGCCTCTTGGGGTCATGTGCTGGGGTCATGATGTTCCAACCTACGCTTGTCTTGGGCACCAGAAAGAATCTCGAGCACCAAAAGAGTCTCCAAAAACTCTAGGGTTTTCACGTGTCGGGCCCTGTTCGGCACTGTTTCGACACTCTTTTGACAATATGTTGACACTTTTCTCGGTGCTCGAAATTCTTTCTGGGATGTGGTCCTTAAGTGCGATGGGAGCAACATAATGCTGGGAGTCTTGGGGGCCATCTTGTCAGGAGGGCTGCCAGGGTCCCTACAGGTTCTCCTGCTTCGGCCTCTCTTGGGGCCTCTTGAGGGTTTTGTTTTGCCTTCTTGGAGGCCTCTGGGGCCGTGTTGGGGCCCTCTGCTGGCGTTTCCAGGCCCTACGGGGGATCTCCAGGGCCGTCTTGGCCAGTCCCGCGCCGTTCAGGGTTTGCGGACCCTCGAAAAGTGGACAACGAGAGAGCATGATTTGTGCCTTTGAAAGCCCGCTCGGGGTTTTTGGGGGCCCCCAGTTCGGCGTGTTGGGCCGCCTTGAAGCTATCTGGGGTGTTTTTGATGCCTTTCTGGCGCGTCGTAGCCCTGCTGAGTTTGAATTCTGGAGGCGCCAGGGGGGCGTTGATGAGCTCGTCGCACCCCCACCCTTAAACGAGTTTTGGGGCCCTGGGTAAGGAGGATCGGGGGGGGCGCAGCCAGCTGCCTCCCACGCCTTTTCACCCCTGGCAAGCGTGCGTCGGCGGATTATGAGCACGGGCACATCACGGTTGTGGGAGGTGAAAAGAGGAAGCACCCCCTTAACCCCGATGATGAGACCGAGGACTGGTCCAAGCTGGACAAGATGCTCGCGCGAATGCACCGCTCATGGAAAACTTGGAGCAACACCTTCGAGGTCGCGAAGAGCCTTGGGGTTGATCGGAGGCAGTTGACATCAGGAAAACAAGATGGTGAAACTGCGGGGATGCGTGCAGGACGCCTGGCAGCAAACGAAATGGCGAAGATGATCCTGAAGGCTGCAGCAACAGAACAACGTAAAATCGATGATGATGATGTCGTCGCTGTGTTGCAGCTTTGGGGATTCAAGAACAATGTCAGCCGACAGAATGTGATGAAGGAAGGTGTTAAGGTTGTATTCAGCGATACGCTCGGTTGCGTCGCGAGCTATGATGGCGCCGTACTTGTTACTGCAGCAACGTCCGAGTACCCCGCCTTCGCTAAAGTATTGTGCAGACGGCTGAGCGACCACATGCCAAAGGAGTTCAAGGAACACAGTTTCGGCTGGACCAGCATTAACGTGAACGCGAACTATGCTGGCCGCTTGCATCGAGATGCTAACAACGAAGGGCCCTCCTTCATCAAGGCCTTCGGGAACTTCACAGGAGGGCAGCTCAACTACTGGGGAGATGACAAAAAGGATGAAGGAACTGTGGAATCCTGCTGCGCCCTCAAGGATAAAATCACATTTGACATTTCGAAGCAGCTCTTGCTCTTCGATGGCAATAGGGGGCACAGCGTTGAGAATTTCAAAGGTGACCGCTACAGCCTCGTTTATCCGAGAGGCGTACGTCATTCCGCCAGCCCCCATACAGTCGGGGCGCTGAGGAAGGAACCCTTTTCGTTGGGGAGGGGCTCGGTGTTCCTTAGTTGTTTTGTAGTTCGCCTCTGGTTTTGCTTAGGGTTTTGATGGGAAGTCGAAGTTTAATTTATGGGAAAAAGGGGCCTTGGGTTCCTTAGGTCAACGCCCCGACTGTAATAGTGACTTTGTCAAGAGTCGTGCCACCGAGCCTGGCCTGGGGATCCTGAGCCCTGGGGGTGCATATGTGAGGGTCCCCATGGAGTGCCTCTCGGGGGCCTCTTGGAGGGCCCTCGAGGGCATCTGGTTGGCCTCTCGGGGGCCTCTGGGGTGCCTCTCGGAGGTCTCTTGGGGCATCTTGGGGACGTTCTGGGGTCACTTGGGGGGCTTCGGGGCGACCGCGGCGGGAAAGACTCCGGAGTTCACTTCTCAGTGCCCTGGACCCGTTTTGGGGCCCTTCTGGACCGTATTAGTGTCCCCTGGGGCCGTCTTGGAGCCTGCTTGGGGTCCTCTTGGGCCGTCCTGAGCCGTCTTGGAGCCCTCTTGGGGGGCTCATGGGCCGTCTTGGGACGATCTTGGGGGGCCCTTGGGCCGTGTTGGGCGCCGCGAAAACGGGAGACGAGCATGCCAGAAATATCCGTCTTACGACGGGAATGGGAGGATGTTTGCCCCTTGGGGCCCTTTCGGCGGCACTTTGGGAGCACTCGTGGGCTGTCTTGGGGGCCACGAGGGACGTCTCGCCATCTGGGACCCTCGCGCGGCTACCTTGGGCCATCGCGACGCTTATGCGGCCTGTCTTGGCGAATTGTTGAGCCTTCTTGGGCCGTCTCGGCGCCTCGGAGAGGGTGCCAGGGATGCGCCTGGGAGCTCGAGCCCCTACCCCGATTCCCCCCAGGGTTTCCCCCATGGTTTCCCCCAGGGTTTCATCCAGGGTCTCCCCCTTCGAATTGGATTTAAAAAGCCCAGGGGAGGGAGAACGGGGACAGCCAATCATCTCACACGCCTTCTGCACCACCGGCACGCGGGGGTCGGCGGACTTTTGCACTGGCCAGTTCTTCAAGGCCAACAAGACGGTTCGCGGAGAGCTGGAGCGATGCGGTTTCCATTTTCCGACAAAAGAGGGCTTGAAAATTGCAAAGGATTTGCTCGGGAAGCCTCGTGGGTACAAGGCACTCAGAAATACCACGGCAGCCGCAGCAGGCTCCTCAAAGCCCATGGCGATCACTTGGCCCCAGAAAGCTCACAAGAAACACAAGCTCAACTTCCTGTCGAAGGAGATGCAACATAAGGCCAAGCTGGCAGTCAAGGACTTGACTCAGACTGTGGACACCTGGCAGGCAAGCGCCAAGGAGTGCACCGACACAAAGTTCACTGGTTACAAAGTGTGTTACGAAACGCTGCCGGACAAGCGTCGCCGATGCAACATCTCGGGCGGGTGGTATTGTGGGATGGCGTACACGGGAGGGAAGCAGAAAAAGGCCCTAAGGGGCCTTTGAGGCCCCCATTGCGGGCCCCTGGTGGCTCGAAAAAGAGTCTCAACCTCCAGGGGCCCCTTCCTTCACGCCTCGTTTAGGTCACCCCCCGACACCATCCGCCCGAAGATCTTTATGATTGGAGTTTCAGGTGGGCCGATTCTCCACCACCACTACCACATGTAGGAGTGGGAGGAGAAGGAAAAGACAGGAGGCGGAGGACCTCCCCATCCTCCTTTCTCCCCCGTCCTACCTGTGGTAGTTGTGTTTGAACACTGGCCCATCATCAGGTGGCAGGCGCCTGGCGGTCAGTGGCGATGAGGAGGAGGTGGGCGCAGGGAGGTATGCCTACAAAAAGGTGGAGGAGTTTCCGTGCGGACCAGGCACTCACTATCGTTTAACCGTCCCCCATGCCCATCCCCATCAAAACCCCCACCATCTCAGCGCCCCAGGTGGGGATACGCCCTTCGAAACCCACAGAGAGCGGCCTACATCCCCATCTAGGCGGACAGATCGGCCAGAGGGGGCCAAGCCACGCCCATGGGGAGTGGGGTCGGCTAAACGATGCTCAGGAATCGAATCGTCACGTCTCTCTGAGGTTCGGGAGTGGTGCGAAAAGTTGGGTGCAAAGTCGGACCCAAGAGCAGGACGGAAGCGCGTCATCCGATCCTACGCCAACAAGGTGGGTGGCGAGAAGCGAGAGCTGCTCAAGCGCAGAATGCCTGCCTCTGCGAGCTCAGCGCCTGGGAAGAGGGCACGTGCAGCCGGTGCTTGAAGCGTTGCCCGGCAGAGATGAGTTTGGGATTTGGCACGGCGTCCATGGGGTTATGGACAACATGTCTTCCGATCTATGGCACGACTTGTGCGGGCGAACATCAACTGCAATGGGGTGAAGCTTGATGATGTGGTGCATTTGTTCTGGGATAGCTGACCGATCCAGCCAGTGTACTCAGGTAGGCCAGTGGGTGCGGATAGGGAGTGCACACATTTACAGTGCAGCGGGTGATTCCCTAAGAAAGAAGCCAGCATAGCGAACCACAGCAGTGTAGACCACGTGCATTCCGTTCACTTCGTTTTATATATGCCCCAAATTGGTGTTGTTCAGACATTCTCAGCTTATTGCGAAGGTGTTACGACCAGCGCCACCGACCCTGAAGGGGAACGACGAAGACGGCGGCGACGACGACGACGACGACGACGACGACGCTCGCGAGCCCTCGTAGGGGGCCCTTGTGGGCCCTGTTGGTCTCGGGACCTCCCCGGGGACCAGGCGGTCCACCCCTTAGGGTTACGTCGGGCCTGTCCTTCTGCTGGGGGAATATTCAGAGATAGTGGTCGGCGGATTCTGTGCAAGAGGGCCGCTTCCAACATTCTCTCGATGTAAAGTGTTCTCTTGGGAATGACTGTCCCCTCAGGTTTTCCTTTGACGCACACCCCCATTTGTCAAAGACGTGGACCTTCGACAATCAAGGCAGATACTCTTAGTATATTACCACCAGGTCGTTGACCTTCTCCCGCCGCAGTCTTTCAGTACGCCCCCTTGGGATGTCCAAATGCAGGCGTGTCGCAATCTAGCAAGTACCATGGACAAATGCAGAACGGAGAAAGTAACTATGAGGTGGAGGGAGAAAACAAAGGTGAGGACGGAGGGTGGTGTGTTGGATGTACGTTGTGGATCGGAGGAGGAAGGAGGAGGCAGAAGGAGGCAGGAGGAGGCAGGAGGAGGAGGCGGAGGAGGAGGAGGGACGAGGAGGAGGAGGGATGAGGGAGGAGGAGGAGGGAGGAGGGAGGAGGGGGAGGGGGAGGAGGAGGAGGAGGAGGAGGAGGAGGAGGAGGAGGAGGAGGAGGAGGAGGAGGAGGAGGAGGAGGGGAGGAGGGAGGAGGAGGAGGAGGAGGAGGAGGAGGAGAGGAGGAGGAGGAGGAGGAGGAGGAGGAGAGGAGGAGGAGGAGGAGGAGGGAGGAGGAGGAGGAGGAGGAGGAGGAGGGAGGAGGAGGAGGAGGAGGAGGGAGGAGGGAGGAGGAGGGAGGGAGGAGGAGGAGGGAGGAGGGAGGGAGGGAGGAGGGAGGAGGGGGGGGGGCTGGGCAGGAGAACTCCTCCGGCGACGGGCAGCCCCCACCCCGGCCACCGTGCCTCCGTAGGCGGGCAGGCCCCCCGCGGGGCCCGGAAGGACTGCAGGCGAGGGGCACGAAGGCGTTGTCGGGAGCTGGTTGAGCCCATATTGGCTCCACAACGCAACTGCCGGGGGCTTCGCCCAACGATAACAACGATACCAACGACAACGATAGCCACGACAACAACGATGACAATGACACCGACGACACCAACGGCACCAACGACAACGACGATAATCACGATAGCAACAACAACGAGAACAACAACAACCACGCTAACAGCGGTAACAACAACGGTAACAACGATGACAACGACGACAACGATAACAACGGCAACCATGACAACGGTTATAACGACACCAACGATATCAGCGATAACAATACCAACGATACCAATGACAACGATATCAACGATCGTCATGACAACGAGAAAACAACATCAACACTGTCAACGAACACAACGTTACCAACGATAATGATAGCAACGACATCACCGAACACAATGATAACACCGACAACGAGAACGATAACAACGATAGCCATGCTGATACCGTTGTCATCGCTGTAATCGCTGTGATCGCTTTTGTCGTTGTTATCGTTGTCTCCCAATCGGAGGACGCGTAATTCCAAGCCTCCTGGTTGTCGGAGTAGATGGAGGAGGAGGAGGAGGAGGAGGAGGAGGAGGAGGAGGAGAAGGAGGAGGAGGAGGAGGAGGAGGAGGAGGAGGGGGGATCGGGTTAGATGAGGTCGGAGGAGCGCTGCATCGCCGATGCATCGTCGACGCATCTGCGGTGCGGCTCGATGTGGGGCCCAATGGATTCTCCACGCCGTCGTCGCGGATGCATCGCCGACGTCGCCGGTGCATGTGCATCGCCGATGCATCGGCGATGCGGCGAGATCCTCCGACCCCATCTACTCGGACCCCGTCTAGGATCGAAATCTCCCACCACCATCACAATATGCAGGACGGGGGAGAAGGGAGGATGAGGAGATCCTCTTCCTCCTCCTCCTCCTGCTCCTCCTCCTCCTCCTCCATCTCCTCCCTCTCCTGTCTACGGTAATGGTGGCAGTCACCGCGCTCGGGAGCTCCCCGCGGGGACCTCCGCAGAGGCCTCCAAAGGAGCGGAGACCTGCGGAGACAGAACTCCGGTTGACGCAAGAGGGGGTCACGCTGCAAGGGGGTGGTGCAATAGTCTAGGCTTCCTAGGTGGGGTCGGAGTAAATGGGGTCGGAGGATCGCACCACATCGCCGATGCATCGCCGATACATCGCCGATGCGGCTCGATGTGCAGCCCGATTTGCGTCACGTCGGCGTCGCCGATGCATCGCCAACATCGACGTTGCGTCGGCCAGTCTATCGCCGATGCATCGACGATGTATCGCCGATGTATCGGCGATGCGGCGCGATCCTCCGACCCCATCTACTCCGACCCCATCTAAGAGGCCTCTAAACAGATCTGGTGCAATAGTTCTGTGGGTTGCAGTAGATTTGGGTCGTGCTACACATTCTGGGTCGCACATGTATTCCTTGGTATTCGCGTGCCGTACGGTAGATGCAATAAAATGCAATACAATGCTCCAGCGCAGTACGTTTGCAAGGCTATTGACCCGCATCTAGTTTGACCCCCCCCCATCCAAAAAGTGAGAAGGAGAATGCCTTCTCAGAAGGCGGCGTTCGGTAGCAGATGATGGGGGCCTGGTGTACCCTCTGAATTCTGTTTTTCGCGTCGGTCGGCGTCGGTTTGCGCCCAGGGGTCGACGAGACGGCGCCGATTCGGCGTCGGCCAGCGTCGGGCCAGCGTCGCTTCATCGTCGATGAGGGCAGTTGCGGCGTGGACTGGAGTCGATTCGCAGGAGCCGCGACAAGATGAGGAGGAGGAGGAGGAGGAGGAGGAGGAGGAGGAGGGAGGAGGAGGGAGGAGGAGGAGGACCACCGAAGGCGGCGGGGCTTCTCAGCAGGTCCCTCGCCGCCTTCGGAGAGGGGCTCTCCCGTGCCCGCCGCGCGGCACAGGGGGAGACATGCCCCGCCCGCGCCGAGCGCACCGCCGGGGGGGGCCCGGGGCTCGTGGTGCGTGCGTCCTCGGCCACAGCCAGGGGCAACGATACGAGGGGGATAGGCATAATGCGGGATAACGATTAATAAAAACATTGGAGAGAAGGATGAAACAAAAACTAGTTTTCTGCTATTTCTGCACAATTTTCTGACTGGAGGAGAACGATTAAAAAAATAGTTTTCCAGCCCGCGGCCGGTTTTCTCTAATCGTCATCCCGGGCGCCGCCGCGTGAAGACGACCCCCAGTCATTTATTAATCGTCATCCTCCATTACGGGGGGATAGGCACAGGGGGGATGCGTCGACCCCCAATCGCCGATGGATCACCGACAGGGGCCAGACAGCCCCAACTTGCCCATGGAGGTGCGGATTCACGATCGGAGGCCCATCGCCGATCTTTCGGCGATGTATCGCCGATTCCAGGTCGATGCATCCCCCCCCCTATGCCAGTACCCCCCTATCGTTGCCCCTCACACAGCTCGGCGCGGCGAGCTGCAAGCCGACCCTGCAGTCGGGTAACACATTTGCTGGTGAGACTCTTGGCGAGGTTGTGTCCGTCCAGTCCGAAGAGGTTGTGTCCGTCCAGTCCGAAGCTTGTGGCGCTCCGCGCGGATCTCTTGGGTCCGCGCTGGGCCCCCACGGCGGCGCCTCCAGCGCCGCCCCTGGCGCGCTCCGTGCGCCATGGGCGGGGGTCGGGGTCCGGCGCAGATTCAAGAAATCCGCGTGGGGCGCCAAGAGTTTTTGTTCATGCAGTTCTTTCTTCTATGTCCGTCTAGTGACGATAATTCGTTGGGGCCGTGGTGGAGGCGTCGCTCGTCTATTTGTCCACTCATGCGACAGCCGCTAGCTCCGCCCGGCCGACCGACCGACCAGGCGACCGAACGACCTGACGACGGGATAACGACCGACGGCGACGATCGACGAATGATAACGACGACGACGACGACCGACCGACCGACCGAACGGATGACCGAGCGACCCAGCGGCCAAGCGATCGAGCGGCGGACGACAACAACCACGACCGACGACGCCCACCGACCGACCGACCGATCGACGACGACGACCGACCGGCTGGCCAACCGAGCGATCGACGACGACGACCGACAGACAACGACGACGGCAACGACCACCGACCGACCGACCGAGTAACCGACAGATAAACGGCGATCGAACGGCGAGGACGACGACCGACGGCGACGACCGAAAGATAACGACGACAGACCGACCAACCAACAGCGATGAATGACGACGACGAAGACAACGACGGACGGACCGACCCACCGACCGACGACGACGTCCGTCGACAACGACCGACGCCGTCGTAAAGTTTTAGAGGGCCAAATCTAGAAGGCCGACCGCGACCGGCCAAGATCAAATTCTGGAACGCGCGTGCCGGGTAAAATTCTAACAGGGAGCACTTCGAGGATGCGGCCGACCTTACCCCTCCCCCCCCGGAGACTGGGGATCCGCATTTAGTAGTCCGCCGATCTGGCGTGTGAGTTGAAGAAGTCTAAGCTGAAGCAGCTCTGCTTCAGCATGAGCTTTAGCTCTGCTTGGGAGGGGGGGAGGGAGGGGGAGGGGAACCTCATCAACTGACGAATTCAGTGTTCG